AGGTTTGGTTGTATTTTAATGATTCATATTTCATACATCCTCTTACACAAAAGGCATTCATGGTTTTGGGCACCATTTTTCTCATTTTCAATACATGGTAAGATCTGTCCCTCCCACCTCCGTCTCAGAAGTGTTCCCCTGTGATATTTCTGAAGACACTCTGAATAGGCATTTTAGTTACTTCTGTAACAAATATAAAGCCACTTAAAATTTCTTTAATTCTGCAGAATAAATGTTAGTGTATTTCACAGTGATGAAAACCTCAAAGGCTTATTACTACCTCTTCATCTACCACCATGCTAGAAATTTTGAATACTTATTGTCATGATTACACAAGCACAGGCAAAATTGAGGTTAAACTGTTTATGAAGGTTACACAGAATCTTGACTTCACAGCATTTTCTGCTATTTGTCAATTGCTTGACAGTTAAAAATTTTGTGTTAGGAGTTTTAACTCCTACCAAAAAAAAAAAAAAAAAATCAATCAACTCTGTGTCTTTTTAATTCCCTAATTCCTGTGGAAACAAAAGCCAGAATAAAGAGGATGTTTCACAATTATGCTTTCATTGCAAGATCAAATTTAAGGCATACTTCATTCAGTGCAAAGTCATCACACACTACAGAGAGAAGACAAAGCCCCCTTCATTCTCCCTTACGGGCCCTACAGGTACATGTGCAAAACCCAGCAAGACTGAAATAAAGATGGACACAATGTACAAGATACTTGTGTAGTTAATATTTGCTCTATGGTTTTACAAAAAAATAAATCAAATATTACAGAGATTACTATTTTTATAGCTTTGAGTAGTCCCTCAGTGGCCAGCAATTTCAAACAAGTCATTAAAAATCCAAGTAAGAGTTCATGAATGGTATTACCAAAACCATCTAAGTTCAGCAGAACAAGAGCAGCATTTGTTGTCACAATATAACCATCATCATTTAAACACACACATATTAATGTAAGTCAAGCCTATACCAAGTGTCTTGAGACTGGAGTTATATAAGAAATAATTTTACAGTGTTTTGGTAAATACATATTCAACATGAAGAAACATAAATAGCAATAGGAATATAGCAATAACCTTAAACACAAATAAGCCATAAGTTCAATCAAATACTTCCATGAAAGAAACAGATGTCACAAAGAGATGCTCTAAATATTTTCTTACTATTTATTTTCTTGATTTTTTTTTCCACGCCTTTCTCACTGCTTGACAAACTATTAATTGCAAGTCATGCCAACTGCAAGGGTTGACTTTGAGACCTGGGCACAACAAAACTTAAAAAAAGAAAAAAAGAAAAAAAAAGAGATATTTTAACAGAAAGGCACACACAGAACATGAGGGAGACTTTTGTTAACTACCCAGCAGGCATAGATTCTTTAGTGCCCACTACTCTTCACGTGGGAAAGAGCCACTGGGTTTTCTCACTGCTCAATATTCTAACAGCAGCAGGCAGCCTGCACTTGTATAACACTTCTCCACATATATTTATCGAAAAAGCTTCCCCAGCAACATGTGCATGTCCAGTATCGTTCTACATTTGGAGTCACAGAGAGACTGAATGACCTGATGCAGTTTAGCACGTTAAGAATGAAACACAGTTACAGTCTCTTGCCTTCCAATCTGTGCCCAATGAAGCAAGAGAATAATAATCTAAAATACTACAAAAACAACAGTGAAAGTGAAATCTGGAATGCAGCGTATAAGAACAAGCACAAACCTGTTCGCCCTTCAACCTAACAAAGCCAATTACCCTGCGTGTTCCAATTTTGATCAGTAAATAGTAATTGGGCATCATCTTTACCTATAACTAATAGTGGAATCTTGAAGAAAGGACCAAGCCTGTAGAAGACAAGAATCAGCAATTTAGCACATCCTACATTCACTTTTCAGCTATCTCCTGGGGGAAAAACATAACCTTCTGGTAACATGAGAGACGCTTATTGTACAGCTGTGGCAGTTTCTATAATGAAACTCCAGACATAAATGATAATATCCATAATACAAACCATAATTCTAAAATATATCTGAATGTGTGTGTGTATATATATCTCTAAAAAGAAAATTATCTAATTTTCTCTTATACATATATAAACATCTGGCTAGGATGCCCCATAAAAATTTTTCCTTAGTTAGGACTAATCTTTTAAATAACAGTTTTAAAGAGTCCCTTAGAATATTTTTTTAAACACTATTCAAAAATGTAGAACTGTTTCAGGGTAATCAAAAAGCACACACAAAATAAATTAACATCATACAAATGTGGTTATATTGTTCAGAAAAGTCCAATTCTCCCATTTGAAATGAAATGGAAACCAGTGTACCTTAGGGTGAACTATTCATCAATGTACAAATTCGTTCTCTCTTTCCATGTAAATCTTCATGTGAATTTAGCTGCATTTCCATAAAGCAAGAAACACAGTAAATCCGCAGAACTCTTGCAAAAGGGAGTTGCGTTTCACTGGATAAGAGCAGTTTTTGCCGAAGGGCAGCAAGTCAACATTTTATCACCATCTGAACACTAGCAACACCTGTGCCCTTGTAAGCTTCACACCTTGAATTAGCAGCAACATATTTGATGGGTTCAGTAGTAATTTTTCTTCCAGTATTGGATAAGACTACTTTGCATATACAGTAAGTCAAAAGTCTAGTACTTTGTGTGCAACATTAATCCACATTTACATCTGAGAACTCATAAATACACATGGCAACAAAGGCGACAGATTAAATTAAACCTCATTTTAAGTTAAAATGTTTTCAGTCCACATATAGAAACAGCTGTAAAAAAAGTATAAAGGAGATGGACAGCAAAAACAGAAGATAAGGAGTACAATAACTAAAACTGTAAGAAGTAGGTCACTGTTAAAAGGGCAAGGTGCAATTAAAATTGATCAACAGAAGATGTAGACTGTACCATCTGCATAAATGCTTAAACGCAGCATTATTTTGCACATCACATACAGTAGATGTGATTTCTAAGAAGCATATTATAACAGCTGGCATACTTACTAATAGATTTATGGTAACTGAATACTTAATTTCTCCAGATCTTAATGTTCAGTAGTTATGCATTAGCCTTTAAAGCTCTTTGTCAGCCTTTTAGAAGTCAAGGTTACATTTCCATGAGTATTTAGTGTCCTAATAAGAAAGTTACAAATATTCACCTCCAATGAACTTTCATACAATACAAAGATAATAAATACCTTCTCCTAAGCTGAATCATCTCAATAGTACTAGTTTTCTTTTTTCATTTTCAAAAGAAACACAAGGACCTTTGTAACTTCCAAAGTGAAGGGTGTTTTAAGGCAGTAAAAGATGTATTAAGGTTTCCATGATTGTTTACGGTGTCTATGTGAATAAAGCATATTACACACAATTGCTCTCATTTATCTACATGACTTCGTTATACTGTACATGATTTAGCAATCTTCTTGAGAAATTTAAAGTGCCACAGTTCAAATGTGCTCATCCGTCTTTTCATGGGCTTCTAGTCCATTCTAGTTGATTTCAGAAACAAGCCCTTGCTTTAAGTAAAGAGCAGTATTTTTAGGGGAAAAAAGAATTCATCCTTCACTGCTGTGCTAACTGGAATCCAGTGGTCGAACCAATCCTTCCTTGTAAACACGAAGAATAGCTTCACAAACAAATTTGTATTGACTCTGTATAAGAAAAAAAACAAAAACATTTATGGATGATTAGTTAAATTCCTGATTATACAGTAGTATTTAATAGGACTAACAGTCCCACTGCTTCCTTTTCTCCTGGACAATGACAGGAGAGGAGATACAAAGACGGAAGGAAAAAATCCAACTCTCCTGGCTGTGTTCACAGTAAACAAAGGTAACATTTACTCTTCTTTGAAGGACAAGCATTAAAAATCTCACACCAAGGAAAACACAATCCCCAAATTTAAAAGAACACATTCTTAAGTCTCAGGGAACAGGATTTATTTGTAAAAGCTATGCAAATTTACATGATTCTTCCAACTTTAAGTTCAACTAGTTATTTATGTTCTTTATATATGTCATCTTTTCTTTGGTATTGTTATGTGATTGCTACGGGTATTCTAACCTTGCCAGTCCTGCAGTTAAATATTACTGGACACGTTTAAGGTACGTGACCAAAAACACATTTAAAGTTGTCATATAGGACACATAGGTCCAACTGCCTTGCTAAAAACTTTTTTTTTTATTTTAAAACCACCTACACTATTGCAGAAGATAGAATTGCTTTATTTTCAATTTGTGATCAGACCACACATCTCCTTTGGTAACAGAATGGGATCAAAACCTTTGGAATGAATATTCTTGAAGAGGAGCAGCCACATTAATTCTTCTGTCACCCAACGTTTGGAGCTCATTTAGTTCTTATAAAGTTTTTACAAATTAGATTAGTGTTTCTCTTCTGAACTGCACTATTACAGACTATTTCTTCCCTGATCTTGTGATGTACTTATTTGTTAAAAGAAATTAGCCCAGGAGCCTCTTTTTGAAAAGTGATACAAGGATACATGAGCAATAGAACTAGTGCAGAACTAAAAATCATTGTAGCCTGAATAAATTTTTATAACACAATCCTGAGAACACAAGATGATGGAAATTTAAAAGAACTTACAGAGATCAAAGCATATCTCTCCTCCAGAAGTACTTTTTGTCAAAACCCCAAAATGAACACCTTTCTTCAATGCTCCATGTCATATATTGAGAGAAGTGCAGCTTCACATTTTCTAAATCCCTTTTTGCAACCTTTGAAATATTCTCCCAGCTGCCCTTGTATGTCAGCTCTCATCAACTCTCCAGAAGCATCTGGAAACATTCCCCCAATATCTCTCCAAGGACAGGGCTAAAAGATAACACTTGGACTATGAAAGACCTTAGGTTGCATTTAAATACCGGTAGTTAGGGACCTTACTCTTTTCCATAACCTGCAATACATTTTCTCTTAAGCACAGAAAAACTTCAAGAAAACTGGGGGATGGAAATTAATTTTCTTCATCTTGATTTTCCTGCCTTTTCTTTCAACCCTTCAGTCAATTACTCCCACCTTCAATATCACTGTTCTTTTGTCTTTATTTCTTAATTACCTTGACTTTTCTCTTCATTGTTATTGTCATTTGCATATTTTTACTGCCTGAACAAGCCAAGTGTGATATTTAGCGCTCTGTTCAATACTTCTGTTAACTCCTTTGTGTGATCAAGATACTGAACAAATTAAGAACGAACACTTCGGCATTGCTTCCTCTGACTCAGACTCTACTTGTTTTCTTTGCTCTTATCTGTTGCATGTATTCTTACTGCTCACCCAGCTGATAACTAGCTCTATTATGTATGTCCTAAAGCACTGCTTTCTGTATTGTCTAGTATGTCTAATTTCTCTTTAACGGAACATAATGGTTAGTTTTTCCTTTTTTTTTTTCTTTGTTCTTTTTTCTTAAATGAAAGGACATTCAGTTACACAAATTTTGTTGTAGCTTTCTTGTTTTGTTCGAAGCTTTTCTTGTGCTGTTTCTGATGACCAAATTACAGGTCTTTGAGAAACTACAGCTTTCACACCATTAACAGCAGACACTAAACTGACCAGTTAATAGCTCTGATGAGTCCATTCATACTTACTAAGTACTCCTCATCTGGTACTAACTCACAACATGCATCTGGCTATGTGTGTCATCTTGGAATTGGAGCACGCAATCCCCACAGGGCAGCTGAACATGCTTCAGGCAAGGTTATTACAACTGAGCAATCCCTAATGGCTTCTCCCAGAAGACCGAAGCTGAATATCAAATATGAGCAGTGGGGTTAACTGGAATGCAAGCACGGGAATGTGACAGAGCACCCAGGATAGATTAAAATGTTAACATGCAGCTCTTGGTATTCTGTTTTCTCACAGCTGAGTGCTTGCTTCTGTGTCTCATTTACAGCACAGTATGCCAATTCTGCTCATTGACTTTTCACAACAGTATCTGCATACTTCAGAAAAACAAGTAAATTTAGTTTTACTGTATTGCTGCTACAGATCATCCCTCTCCTGGTTGTGCTGATAGTGAGCTGTGGAGCACAGCAAGCAAGGTAAAGAATCCTATTTTAGATACTCAGTTTTCCACACTCGGGGTCTGACTGTCAGTGTATTTACTGCTATTTCCCATATTCTTCAGTTACGTCAAACTGTAGAGTACAAGGGCAATTCCTGCCGATTTCTGTTGTAACAGGAGGGACTCAACCTTCTGGAAAGCTGAAGTTTACTTCAGGTTCTCCTGTCTGATTCTCAAAAAGATGACTGCCTCTAGAAAGTTTAAGCCTGAACTTGCTCAGTTCATTTTAGAAACTGAGGGGCGTAGACAGGTACAACTCCAGAAGTCAACATTCAGCTTCCTTAAACTTCAGGCTAGTGTCTCTCATCTCATGACATCCTTTGTCATAAGCTCAGCTTCCATTTCTGCAAGGAAGAGGTAGAGGGCTATTCAGGCAACTCCCCCCTCAACCACACAGTCCCGGTGCACTTCCAGAGAGTGCACTCACACTGCGACAAAGAAGAGTCCCAGCAGGATGTGTGAACCATCTCTGCTCACAGAGCACTCTAATGTGACACAAGCAACTGTAATTCCTGACACTTTCATATCCTTTGATGATGCAAGACTTTTCCCCCCCATCTAGTCAATCACAATGGTAACTCCTGCAGTAATTAAACTGTTAATGAATAGAATTTGTCTTCTCAAGTTACCTTCTTCCTTCCCTTCATCAAGTGGAAACCAAGGCCTTTTCTTTTGAAGACGAGAGACAAAAATGGCCAATTTAACTAGTGACTTTGTGGGTTTAAAGCCCTTTACTTCCATTTGTCATAGGGCATTTAGCTCTCTGAGGTAACCCACACTTAATATTCTGTCATCCAACCTCTGAGCCTCTCATCCTTCATCCTTGGTCTGTAACATCAATATGTTCATTTCCAAAGCTGATACAAGATTGCCCTCACGATCTCCAAATGTCTTTGAACCACTTCCATCTTAAAATCACCTTCTACTTTCATATTTTAGTTGTGATACTACTCAAACTTTCCTGTATTTTCTTCTTGCCCTTTGTTTTTCCAAACTTGAGTAGTGGCACAAATTAAAAAAAACCCTATATTGTTCCTATCAGATTTCTACTCTTAAAAAAGCCACTTCCTCTCTTCAAATCACACCACAAAATCTTTAATTTTACCTTCAGTTTAATAACTTCCTGTAAGGCTCTAGAATAAAAAGCAAAAAATTATTCTAGCTTCTTGCACAGAATTCAGACAAAGGACCATGAACAGATGATTTGTGCAAGTCTGACTTTCTGAGTTCTAACTACTGGCAATGTATAGAAATCAATTATCTTTTAATGGCAAGGTAAGAAATATTTGCAAAAAGTTAAATACATACCTCACAAACCAAGCAGCCTTTGCTACCATGCTAAATGCTAAACGTAGGAAGTATGAAATATAATGGCAACTGAAGACTTGTACAACTAGATCATTTAAAAAATGTTTGGGTCTGTTAAAACTGGACGAGTGCAGGATATATACAGAAAACAAGGCTTCCTCTCCATCACTTACTGATGTTTGCACCATCATAGCTCGCTGGTCTCGCATTTTTCGTACAATATCCAGTGGATAAACAGGTTGGTTTCTTTCAATTAAGCACATGGCTGTTTCCATAGTGACCAATACACCAGTGCGACCGATTCCAGCGCTGTGAAATGTAACAGAAAAATAGTCATCAAATTAGGTTTTTGCAATGCACCAGATTCATATCACAGTCTTAATACTAGGATGCTAAATAGCCTTAGAAATTACAGGAAGACCTTAATAGAATTAGAATGGAGTGCAAAGCTTGTCTTTAAAGAAACTTCAGTAATATTTTCTGCCAATTATTAAAAAGAAAAGAATTTTTTTATATAAATAAAACTAAAACCTCACTCAAAGTAAATGGATTTTTAACAATTATAACTGCTTACAAATCTAAATGTACTGGCTTGGTATTTTTGACTAAAAAAGGTAAGAACTAATTGACTGCTTTTTGACAGGCACTTGAACAGCAGAAAAAAAATAACTCTGCAGTACCATTCAAAATGAGGTTACAATAGTGGTAGAGGATAAAAATGGAGAACAACTTACATTGCAGATTATCAGCTCTGTGATAATTACGTGACTAAGCCATTTCACCAAAAGATTGCAGGAGAAAGAGAGAAAAGAAACTTGTCCTTTAGATACAACACCAGCGCTTCTGCCTTCAACAGTGAACGCTGGTATTGCACAGTTTAACATTTTCAGCTAATTCAAGGAATCTCCCGTCTTGCATACCAACTTTACAAACCAAATGCTTATTTCTAAGGCTGAAACAATTCTATAACCAGAATTTTAAAACACAAGTACCTGCAGTGAACAAGGACCGGCTCATTCTCTACTCTCTTTGGCCTCATACAGGTCACAAACTCCAAGAAGTCCATGGAATCATCAGGAACACCATGATCAGGCCAAGCAACGTACTGGAGATGGGTGATGGTGTGTTGTTGTTCTGTCTAAAATACAGTAAGGTTTTCAAAATATGTTCCGTGTTATGACTCCTGTATTGATGTTTACTAGATACAAGTCATACTTTTCACAATAAGCATATTCTGCAGATGCTATAAGATGCATATGGTGTAGAAAACATTTGTCATTTTAAAATTCAGAGTAAAGTATGAACATGTAATTCTTAGAAAGCACGCAAAAGGCATAATGTTTTCTAAATAAACGAGGTATCAAGTTTAACTTCTGTGATCTATACAGATTTTAATTTTTTTAATTTATTGACTATCATACCTTGACATCAATGATTCACCTGAGGTAAAATGCTACAAGACTTATGCATAGTAGTACTGTATAATAGTTTAGAACAGGTTGAAAGAAACAGCAGAACTATTGAGAACAATATCAAAATAACAGGGTCTTGGGGCTACACAAGCTAATCTAAACATGGTATGTCTGTGTGTACTTATAGATTCAGTTATAATATAAAGTTGCCTGTAACATTAGCAAAATCTGTTTTCTGTTAGAAAACAATACATTTACTCATGTATACATGTTCATTTGTACATATATGAATGACTTCTGTATGACCCACAGAAGAATACTTTTCTGTATGGAAGCAATATAATTAGTTAAAAGATTCTATTGTATGAAGAGCTCTTTTTCCATTCAATTTTATGTAAAAAACCAGTTTTACAGAAGTTCTTTCAGCTTAGCTTTGTGTTAACTTTGATTATGAAATCACTCAGTCATCTCTGCATTCAGATTGGGCTCAACTGCTATGCTGCAGATGTAACCAATGATTAGGGTGGGAAGGAAAAAAAACCTAAAACCACTCCTGAGCTTGGCTGCATCACGCAATGAGGATCTCACTCTTTACAAACTGAGACAGGACTTCATGTTCCTTTATTTCTTCCGCACATTTAGCAAGAGTAGAACTGTTAGCTGCATTTTTCAACGACTATTACTAGACTTAACATTTGACACCCTACTGAAATAAAACTCACCTTTATCGCTGTATTAGTCTATAAAAGCTGGCCTCTCCCTAGTGGTCCACGCAAGAATGTTTTTGTGATGCTAGTGATGTTAAGAAGCTTTTTTCCTTTCCTCTTAAGTGCACAACTACAGAAATATATGACCTGTTTTGAATGCTTTCAACTGCTTGCTTTCCTCTTCCACTTTAGGAAGTGGTTCCACTCCCAGGGAGCAGGCTAGTAAGATACAGAAGGCAGAATAACCACTGCCTACGTACCAAGTAGAGTCCTAGGAATTTAATTTATTCCAATCAAAGTAACTGCAGAAATTTACAATTGGCTCCAGGGACATGAAGATAAACACCACAGCTCATACTTTGCTTCCGAAAGGCAGAGCCTGAGCAATCACAATTAAAAGGTCTAGCATAAGGCCCAAGTGGACAATGTAATCTAACTTTAATGACCAAGCTCACTGCAATACAAATTGCATTGGGATCCATATCAATGAGGTCATCAAAAGACCCCACAATGACCAGGATCTTTGCAAGAAAAAGCAAGGCCTTTTTCTACTCAGCTTTGCTGCCATTATGTAGTTGAGCTTGATCAAATAATTACACTTTAAATTTTTCTGAAATGCCACAGATTGAAAAAATGAAAAAACATAGCAAGAAAATGTCATTAAAAACTCCTCTTTTACAAATGTGCATGTGCTTAATCAGAACTTCTTCAAAAGAGAAATGAGATAACACAGCAATTAAATATAACAATTGGAGCTGATTCTCTTAAATCAGAGATATTTCAATTACAACATTCAGGTGAAACAAAGACTTGATTCAGTCTAAAATTATCTGAGAGTGAGTATCCAGTCACCTTCCACGTGCATCAAGAACTTCAAGCCATGCATCATGGATAAGTGCTAGTATCACACCTGAGAATCACCAGCAGTGATCTGTAGTATCAAAAGCCATTTTACAAGCTCAGAAAAGTGAGAATGAACTTATTTTTTACTTATCAGTAATTCAGGCTCAAATATAGTGACTTGCTTTTTTTTTTTTTTTTTTAAATAGTTCATAGACATTAAGTACAAGCATGTTACATAAGACTTATTTGGAGTAAGAATATACAGTAAGATCATGCACTTAGTCCTCAGAGCTGCTGCTTTTGGTGTGATCATCTTAATTTTCTGTTATGTGCCCTATTCATCCCTAGAGACCAACATAGCTGTTTGTTAATTATTCCAGGTATAACTTGCATTAAGACCATCACAGTTGCTAAAATCTAGCACTCATACATTAAAAAAAGTGCTAGAATTACCGTTACTGGTCCTGTAGTTAGCCCCACTGTACATGTCCTATTAACAATACTTCTTTTTAAGCACATTATTTCTGCCAGACTCTGCTTCTTTGTACAAATCTGGTAATGGAAAATAAGAGGTAGCTTCTTATTACACTAAAGTTGCTGTCCAAACCATTATTCTCTGCAAGTCATCTTAAATCCTTTCCAGAATTTTTTTTTTCTGAGGTTTTCAATGACAGCCATTATTGTAGCATCCTAATGACTGATAAATGCAGAATTTATCTTTATAAAATCTAGCTTTTTTAGTCCTTTTTTATAAGTCTAAGCTTACAGAAAGTGAGACAGCAAGAGTTGCTCATGGCCCGATAGCTATTTTTGCCTAACTTGACATTATACACCTTGTTGTTCCAAAAATATTTGTTTTTTGCACTCACATGGGGTGATTTCAATTAAATTTATGTATTTGGTATTTCCACAAGTCAGTTTAAAAAATGGTGGATTTTAAAAAAAAGAAGTCCAAACTATTTACAGACTCCAGTGACACTTCTGGATTATGTACTTTTCCCAGTTTATCATCAGCCATTTGGCCAACATTTAGCCACTTCACAGCGTTGACCCACATTTACTTGGCAAACAGCTACAGAGGCCTAAGACATAAAATCTGTCCCAAGATATTTGTTACTGCCCTTCTGATAATGGTTATTGTTGCTGCAGCAAAGGTGTCAGTCAAAAAATAGATGTGCCTACCCCTCCTGTGCAAATTCAAGACATCATATTGCAAAAGCAACTCCATCATGGTCAAGCTAACATCCTAGATTTTGCTCAGAAAGACAGGGTAAAGATACATGGCCTTTTCTAATAAGTCTGCCGTCGGGATTACAACTCCTGACAAAGTACAGGGCTGTCAGAGGTAATGCTCCAAATGGCTGCTGTAACACTTGCAAAACAATCTCATTGTCAAGATGTTCAGCCACAAAAATATCCATTCTTTGTTCTTCTGCAGTTTGCAGCCTTGCTTATAATTACATCGAAAAGCAAGCTTCCTTGTTTCATTCTCCTAAAATGACTCTCCCGGGTTAATAAAAGAATCAGGTGTTCTTTAAAAAAAACCAAAACACACCACTTAGAATGATAATACTCATATAGAAAGAAGGAAATTTAGGCTTGAAAGGTAAACCTTAATTTTGATTTTTCTTAAAATCCAAGCACTTGATTTTGCATTTCACCTTTTCATTTAATGTCCTTTTTTGTCTAGGTTATAATATAATCTTTAATAAAAAAGAAAAAGAAATTTCACTATGTAGAACTATGTATTAACCTTGAAATGGTCCTATTATCTTCTAATCACTCTTTGCTTGTGAGCTTCACAAATATACCTTGCAGGCCAAAAATCAGTGATCAGGATTAAAGCCTAGTTTTTGAAGAGTAGGTACTTCGGCAGTGGCATTTGGCATTTCTTTGAACCTCTGTTCCCACCTTATTATGCTTCTGTACAACCCTGCTGTAACACTTTTAATCTAGTTTTGTTCTTCAGCTCTTTACTATTCAAAGCCAAGTCGTTTTCTTTTACCATGACTATCTGACAGAACATGTTCAGTGCAGACTTTAAAATACCTCTGCAGCACAACAGGTTTGTTCAAGACATTTATGACATGGTCAAATGTATATAGATTTCTTTGGAAAGGGAAAATACCAGGTCTTACTTACTGTACAGAAGCAAAAGTTTCAGTGAACCAATCTAAGAGTCATTAACATGAGCAAACTCAACATTCCCCCCCACAAATTGTTGTATGACATGTATCTGGCGAGGAAGACAAGTGGCAGGGAAAAACTCAGCCCAAACAATAAAATGTGTCAAAATTACAGAGGTTCTGTTTTCAGCTGTTTATAGCAGAAAGTGTTGGCAGTATACTCATTTACATCACTACCTTTGTCTCATTTAATATCA